GCAGATCCTCTAATTAATTCTTCTTTCTAATCTGTTGATTCTTGTTTTTTAATATAATCATAGTATCTGCAGATAATAAAAGCTTAGTTACATCCCTTGCAGTCTTATATTTTTAAATTATTTCTTGCACTCTTCCCATTCCTAGGGCCTTCAGAGAAATAGTGAATAAAGTGGTGAAAGTGGCCTTCTTGTCTTCTTTCTGATTTTAAAGAAAACATTTTTAAGTAATTCACCATTAAATATGATGTCCACTGTAATATTTTGGTAGATAACAATGCCAGGTTAAGAAAATACCCTTCTAATTTGCTAAGTTTTTTAATCAGTGAATGTTGACTTTTTTAAAAATATATTTTATGCATTTATTGAGACTATCATTTTTTGTTTTATTCTTTGACTAAAGCAATTTTATTCATCATGTATTATCTTCCTTATGTATTTCTAGATTATGTTTTCTAGTAATTTTTTAGGATATTAGCATTTAGATTCTTGAGAGAAGTTGGGCTATAATTTTCCTTTCTCAGAGTTTCTTGGTCTGGTTTTCATATCAAGATTACACTAGCTTCATGAGTTATGTTACCTCTTTTTTATTGTTTTCAGAAAGTTTATAAAGCTGGAATTATATATTCCTTGAATATTTGGTAGAAATCACTGGCAAAATATTTAACCTGGTCCTGGATCTCTTAGTGAGAAACATTTTAAACTATGAGTTCAATTACTTTAGTGATTCAGAACTGTTCATATTTTCTATTTCTTTTCAAGTTCTTTTGGCAAGTTATACTTTCTTGGAAATTTATTCAATTCATCTAAATTTTCAAATTTATTGACATAAAGTTATCATATATCCTATCTATACAGATCAGATTTTTGAAAGGAAGTATAGCTTAATGATACATATACAGAACATATGCTCCGAACCCAGACTACCTAAGTTGAACTCCAACACTTAAAATTTATGTTCGGCCTAGTTATTTATCTTCTGTGTTCTTTAGTTTTCCAACTATAAAATAAGAGAAATAATCATACGTACTTCGTATGATTGCTATGGCAATTCAGTAAGTTAAAGTGCTTACAAAGGTAAAGTGCTTAGAACACTGTGTGGTACTTAACTGGTGACATGTAAATTAGTGCTTTTGAAATGTGCTGCAAAATTTGATGTGCAATATTTTCATTCTTTTCTAAATCACATCTAAGTTCAAATTTTGTGTATTACTTTGTATTCATGAGCTAGTATTTAAATTCCAAGTATATTCTATTTTTAGTTTTCTTTTTGTTATTGATTTCTAATTTAATTGCTTTGTGGACTGACAGCATGACCTTTATGGTACCAGCCTTTTGAAATATGTGAAGAATTGATTTATTGGCTTAGCACACATGATTAATTTTTAAATGTTCCGTGTGGTTGAAAAGAATGAATATTGTCAGTTTGGGGGTGCAGTGGTCTAAATATTTCCATTCAGTCAATATGTTTAATTGTGTAATTCAAATATTCTATATATTTTTTTCCTCTTTGTTCTTAAAAGTATTGGAATTAAGATAATTTGTTAGCTTCTTCATGTAGTTCTATTTTTGCTTTTTATTTCTTTATCTAGGTTATTAGGCATACCCAGGGTTATCCTGGTGAATTGAGTCTTTTATTGTTATGCAGTGACCTTTATCATAGGTAATGTCTCTTTGTCTTAAGTTCAATATGTTTGATATTAACATAGCTATATCAGCTTTCAATGTAAGTGTCTTTGTATGTTTAGATCTGTTTCTTGCAAACACTCTACCCTTACCCCTGGATTTTGCTTTATTTTCATTCAGTCTTAGAATTTCTGACTTTTAAACTGAATTTGAACCATTTACATTTATGTTTATTACAAATCTTTGGAATATTTTTATTTCCTTATTTGTGCTTTCAATTCATTCTGCTTTTTAGTAATTTTTTAAATTTCTCCTTTCTTGCTTTCTTTTAGAGTATTAAATTTTTTTAATTCAGTTTTACCTCTGTTTGAAATTGTGTGTTATATGTATATTCCTTTTGACAATTACTCTTAAATTTTAACATGTATACTTAAAGTAAAAGTCAAAGTTATAATAATTTTGTTCTAATCACTCTCTTATCATATTTAACCAACAATTTAGTTTTGAATTTTTTACCAGCTAAATTACTTTCCTATTTTTTATACAGTCAGATTTTGTTTATATTTACTCACGTATTTACCAGTTTATTTTTTGTTCACCATTCCTTTTTGCATTTCATACTTTATAGAAGCACCCTCAGTCTTTCTAAAGTACATCTATTCCTTAGAAATGTCATTAGTGAATGTATTTTGGGAGTAAACTCTCAGATTTTATTTCATAAAACTGTCTTTGTTTTACCCATGTTCTGGAATATAATTATGGCTGGATATACAAGTTCTCGGGGACAGTTATTTATTCTTAGCACTTAAAGATATTGTTCTACTTAAATGTTTTACTTTTTGTTTTACTTAATTCCTATGTAAGTGAACCCTTCCTCTCTCACCCCCTACACATACCTCAGGCTGCTTTTAAGATCTTTTCTTTGTTTTTCCTTAGCATCACTATGATGAACAGTTCCGGACAAGTTTCAGCTATTTTTCTCTCCTATATTGCCTCTCCTCATTTTCTTTATTCTTTTCTTCTGAAACTCCAGTTATATATATCTTAGACTTCCTTTTTTTCTTCTACATCCTTTAAGAACTATCATATTTTCCATTTCTCTCTGCTGCACTCTGGTTAATTTGTCCTCCAATTCAGTAATTCTCTCTTCAGTTGTCTCTAATTTACTATTTTATCAATTCAATGCATTTTTAAATTTCTTGATTATATTAACACTATATATATAAAATAAAATTTCTGAATAGTTATTTTTCAAATATGACTGGAATTTTTTGTTAGGTTCTTATTCCATTCCTGTGTTTTCCAGTCCCTTCTTTATATATTTAAACATATAAAATGCACTCATTTTATATTCTATATCTGGTAATTCAAATACCTGAAATCTTTGAAATGTAGCTCTAATGTATGGGTTTTTTTTTCCTGCTAACAGTCATGGTGGTTTGTTTCTTCATATTTGTCTGTGTGTGTAGTATGTGTGTATGTGGAGGGGGTGTTGCTATATATGAGCTAATTTTTGACAGAAATGTATCATTGAGAGTTCTATATTTGCATAGAATGTATTACTCTATAGAAATTCATCAAATTGAACATATTAAATATGTGCAGTTCTTTGAATAGCAATTATACCTCAATAAAGCTTTTAAAAATTTTTCATATGCTTTTTTGGGCATCTGGGAGAGCTATAAATACAGGTTCATTTTAAATTAGTTTCTCACTTGGAGTTTTATGGATAATACAGTGGATTTGACCTTTGAAGTCATATAAGAGATAATATGTGATTATGAATTGTTAAGAGATATTTTTATTTTCTCCTCTTCTTTCTCTATCCACAGCTGAAACCAAGACATAATTTTTTTGCTACTACCTCTGTGGCATGATTTTTGTTTTAAACAACTCTTTCACCAAGGGTGTAGATCTTTGAGATCTACATATTTTTAGGGGCTTTTAGTTTTAATTCCTCATCTTGTTTGAGACTGATGTCTTGTTTTAAATCCTCTGGCCAGCCATTATGTATTTGGGTATTGCCAATGCCCATAGGGCAAGCATCAGCTTCAACACTTGCTTACCATTCCAGATTTGTGTTCTCCCCAATTTTTTACTCTATAGGGTTTCTCTTACTTCCTTGAAAGCTCAGCTGTTTTTAAGATGATGGTTTTAATGTTTTATACAGAAATCTAGGCAGAATTTTTTCAGAATATCTACTCCAGAATATTACTGGAAACCACAGTAGAGTTTTTGTTTGTTTTTTGTTTTGCTTTTAAAAAGTATTGTCTTCACACTGAATTTCTCAGGTCTGTGCACTCTTAATTCCAGTTACTTCTTCTCCAAAACTGAACACACACAAAAACATAGCTACACAAACTCAAAAAGTTTCATAGGATTTGAGTAAGACATTTTATACATATCATTGGTACCTAATGGTTACTCACTTATTGGAAGAAACAATTTAAACTTGACTTTGAACTGGCTCTAATTATTAATACTACTTTCTATAACCAGGGCATTCTTTTTGTCTAAAACTTTTATTCATTTGTTCATTTGCATAATTGACATACACCAATCCAGATGCCTGTAGAGATGTTCTGCTTACATGTTCCTGTGTCATCTGTATCCAGATTCAGTGTTTTCTAAAATCCAGTAATGGGATCTTGCTAGATTACATACTAAGCAAGCTAGACAATATTTGAGTGAGAAGAGATTAATGGAAGACAAATCAATGAATAAATATCGAGGAAACATATTAATTAAATAATGTATTCAACAAATAAATGTTATTGAATACTTCCTATGCATTAATTAAGTGCTGAGGATATAGTGGTAAATTTATGCCATAGTCAAGGATACAGAAGAGTAAACATTTAATTACAATATAGCATAATGAGTTTTATAATAGAAATGTGTAGAATGCTTTAGAAGCACTAGAGAAGGATATTTATTTACTTAGGCAAGTTTCAAGGAAGGTTTCTAGAGGAGTTAACACACGCTGAATGAGACCTAAAAAATGAGAAGTTAAAAGAAGGCCTGGGGTGCTCCAGACAAAGGAAATGGCAAAAACAAGGGCCCAGAGGCATGGAAAACATGGTACATTTAAGAAATTATAAGTTATTCTATGTCTCTGGACCATAGGATATGGACCAAAATCCATATGGAAGACTAGCCAGAGAAGACACTGGAGAGGTAGGTAAGAACATCAGATCATCTGGTATGTTTTATGCCTTGCTAAGGAATTTGGACTTTATTGTGGAGAGTCTCTGGAGGGTTTTAAACAAGACAGTGACAACAGAAAACAAAGACCTACTAGAGGTTATTAATTACCATTTTACAAGTTGCTGGGGAAGGATACAAACTAATTTTCATTTTCATTTTCTGATAAATAGGAACTCAGGCTCGTGCCGGAGGCCAGAGTATTTTCACTTCTCGTGTTTTCTCAAATATGTAAGTATCTAAGAAAATTAATGGGTAATTATAAATTAATATTTTAATAATTCCATGAGTGCTGTTCAAAAGCATATGATTACATGGAATCCTCCATTCTTGTAGTTCTACTTGGATTCAGTGAAAATTCTGTCTTTTGCAAATTCTCAGCACTAAGCTTAAATTGTAAAAAGACAAAGTGAGTGTTCTTCCTATTCCTTCTGCATTTCTTTATCCCCACTGTGATTCTACTCTTCACTTATATTCAGAGTCTTCATGCCACTTTCAAGGATATCCTACCACGATCTCCACTTCAGGTAGCTTTCCAGGATCTGGACTTGTCCCTTTGCCTTTCTCCCCTTTGAATATTTACCATTCTTTAGGCCTTTGGAGATTATTGGCTTCCTAAGGATGGTTAGTTTACTGTAAGTATTAATAACTTAATCAGTTATTCTTCTCCTAAAGGATATTTACAATATAATCCAAAATAATAATCTCTAAAGATGGAAAGTACAGGTCTTTGAAGCAGATATTTTTGGGGCCTGAGGGATTTTCATTCCTCAAACCTTGGGGTCCCCCTATTCTGTTTCTTGATTTTAGAAGAGAAAGCCTATTATTTTAGACCCAACATCATCATCTATTTACAAAATCAATAAGCCAAATTAGGTCCAGGATTTTACAAATCCTAAATTCATATGAAAATGGTTGGGTAAAGTTAAGTGGTGTATGGTGGCAGGTGGTGTTGACATATTCAGATCAAGCTTCCTTGGAGGAAGGATCTTGACTTTAGGGCTGATGGATGTCAGTTTGACTGACTTATTGAGAGTTCATAGGATACATATTTAAAAGATGCAGAAGGAAGGAAACTGACTAGTCCAGTTTAAAGCAATAGAACAAAGTGGAAGAATTATGATCACACATACGAAATGACCATTTTTATTTTATTTATTGAATAAATGTATTTTATTTATTAAAAATGTAAATACTTGCCTCTTTATAAAAAAGGTTAGAGGAGTCTCATAATAGTCTTAATTTGTGCCTCTTCATTTTCCCCCACCTAAGATTACAGAACTACAAAGTCACTTGAATCTTTTATAGCAAATACTTTGGATACCCTTTCATTAAAAATCTTAGCTCAGCTAAGATGAATAACTTGATGGATGAACTGGAGCTTATTCACCATTCCCAACCAAAATGACAGGAAAATACTTATGGCTGCATCCACCCAGCCTAATATCAGGTCAGAGTACAAACAAAACACAGCTAACAATGCTTTCTAGTCTGATTCTGCCCATCATACACAGGTCACATTCTTGTTCTGATTTAACTCCAGATTTCATGACTTTTCTATAGAATCATCACATCTGTTCTACCATCCACCTCATCTCTCCTCCCTCTCCTCTATTCCTTAGTTCTGTTTTTTAACACAAAACATATACAGAAAGGTTTATGAAATAGACATGGAAATTCAGGACCAAGAGAATGAAGACAAAGCAAATATGATAGCAGTGAGGGTAAACAGAGTTGCAATAATTAAGGATTGCACTTGGATAATGAATAAATCTGTGTTATTGGGATGGAAGGTGTAAGGAGTAACAGAATGATAAGGCAATATGTCTGCTGCACTGCAGAATGTGATCAGAAATTTTTACTTTATTTATTGGATGACACTCTGATGGTTTGGGGGGGGGATGTTATGATCAAATTAGGATACATAATGGATAACTGTGGCAGAAATTTATAAGAAAACTTGAAGCCAAGAAATTAGGAACCAGTTCCAGAAGTCCATTAGTGGACTGCAAAGGCTTCATTTTGGATTAGAGACTAGGCCCAGGTCCAGAAGACTGTAAATGGGAATTTATTTTTCAAACATTTACTGAGAACCTACTACATTCAAAGCATAATGTTATATGTTAGGCTAACATCTGCTCAATGTTAGGCAGATACCACAGTGAACAAAACTGCCCTTGTGATTGTGAGGTGTTGTTTTTCAAGGATACCATGGAGCTGGAGAAAGGGGATGGAAATAGGTCAAGTTAAAACATCACAAAGCTCAATGTTCTTACCTAGATCAGCCATTTTTCTTGAATAAACACTCTCTGTAATACCATTTCACTGATGTCACCCTTTATCTGGTTATTACAATAGTTTTTTAGTGGTCTTTATTGAAGCTTTCTCAGTTATTTGGTTAATTTAATCTTAGATCTTTGCTCTTTGTTTGGATCTGTATACATACCTTTGGGGTAGAAAGCCTGTGGGAGCAGATATCAGTCAACACACTGGACTCCTTGTGTTCCATTTGGTGCCTACAGTATAATGTAAAGAGAACGGAAAAATGAATCTGGGAGAGTTAGATTGCAGAATATCTAAAAGAAGAAAACTATGCTTAGGTTGACCTAAGAAACCTGATCCTGAAAAAATAAACGAGACCAAAAGATAGAGAACATGTCACTGATATCAGCTTTCATGCTCCAGGTTCCATATTGCAAAAAGGTACTAGTCTAAGTGTGGACTATTGCTACCAAACCCAATTTCTGAGTGGAAACCAGTGAAGTTTTCTTTTTCTGCCAAGATTTAGTATATAATTCTCAGTATTGTTGTTTCTTATAATTGAACTTTAGACTTAGAGAAAAATTAAATTTTATAATGTAAAGTACAGACCTAGAAAAAATGAAAAAGGAATGTCAATTTTCTTTCAAGAAAGTAGGGAGAAGTTAAGCAAAGGGCCTATGTTGAAATATATGAGAATAAACATCATATATCTGAAATATATGAAAATAAATCCAAAGTACAATCTTAGATTTTATTTTATTAACTATTTGTTTTGTTAGTCTATAATTTTTATTATTGAGTTGTTCTTTTATTTGTTACAATTCATAAAACTATGTTTTTGACTTCATTAGTGTGTGATGATAATTGTAATTAGAACACATGATAGAATATTGGTATACACAGAAAAGGGCTACATCTAAATTGGTATTGAATATGGCTAGATACTTATGATTTTAACCCATAGTTATTGAATAATCATCCACATATTCCCTTCCTACTCTTTGATGAGAGTTTGGGTGGGACTATGGGATTTGAAAGGGTAAGTAAGTGAAAGATTATCACAAAGCTCTGCTCAGATGCCTTGCCACCTCATGGTGCCTTTTAGCTTACAGAAGGCACTAGCTCACCCCTCTCCCTCCAATTCCATGCCCTTCCTCAGAGAACCACAAAGCAGGGATGGCTAAAGTGGGTCAGAAGTAGAATTTTCAGATTGATGTATTTTTCATGCTGCAGCTACAATTGTACTCTTCTGAGTAATAAAGCATATGGGCCAATATTGAAGGAGGAGGAGAAATGGTCAGGTGGGTGAGAGGACGGTGGACAAAAAATAAAGTTTATTCTTCCTTTTGAATTTCTATAGAAAAACTTTCAGATATAAAGAGAAGAAACTGATTTAATGATTAGAAATTTTGGAAAAAGTTACATAAATTCTTGACACTAGGTAATAACTAAATGATCAACCTCTCTTAATTTTACAGACAACAGAACCTCCTGCAAAATTGTTTTCAAGAAAAAGTATGTATCGTAAAAATCCATTGATACAGCGGCATATTAATGATACTTTCTAATGTATCATAATAGAAAAAAATCTGTGCATCAATAATGAGTAATCATCTGTTGATATTAGTCAGTCTCCCTCTTCGCCCTTTTTTTCTTCTTAAAGTTTACTTTCAGTTAATTCTTAGATTTTGCAATGGTCTTATCAAGAAATAATGTTGGCCTTTCAAGAAGGGGTCTCATGGGGATAGAAGGGGGCAGGGATTAAGGGAACTAGCTATCATAAGAACAGCATCAAATATCACAAACCCATTCTACCATGGGAAGCCATTAAGTCACATGGCTTTGCAGACTTGGCTGGTGAGGTAGGATCCCTGGGTCTGTCTCTAGCCATTTTTCTGGGAGGGGACCTGGTCACCTAAGAAGTCATGTAAAAAGGTATGATCTGAGACTTGGAACAGGCAGACAAGAGAGTATATTCATAAGGCCCAGCTCTGGATCTAGTCAGACCAATCAGAAAAGAGAAAGGGGTTAGAGAACAACACATACTCAGACTTACTTTTTCATATGGATACCTGCTCAATTCATAGGATATGTAGCAAATACAAAAGCTTTGATTCAAGAGAATATTTCTCAGTTTAATATTATAATGGAAAGCAACTGAAAACTCGGTTCTATTTACCATATTTCACTACATAGAAAACTTTAGGAATATCTATCTTTCATATATCAAGGTTAGAAACTCTCACACCTACCCTAAGAGTCATAATGTAGGTCCATTATTTATTATTTCTGGTAGTAAGAAAAATAATACATAATGAATATTTTAGTTTATACGGTTGTAGTTGTAGTGGATTAGAACAATTACTTTCTCTGTTAAAATTTAGGTTTTAGTCTTAAAATACTTGATTTAGGATGTGATTATATAAGGCAAATATTATACAACATATGCTGTCATCAAAATATTTTTTTCAAACTACTGGCCATTGTCTCTACAATAAGTGAAAAAATATATTAGGAGATTTGGAGATTAGAGCAGAATGAAATGGTTTTCCCTGGGGTGCCCCCAAACACTCTCAGATGAGTCAGGAGAGCACACTCCATAGAGGTGTTCATAGAATACAACATAGGTGTTAACTTTTCTTTGAATGTTGGCCTGAAACGTGAATAATTTCATGCTAACTTAAAGCAATATTTTGGGTGTAAACAGCCCCATTTGAGGAATTCTATTGTTTACCCTGGTGCCCACATACCAGCATTCCAGGCTTTGCTGCCAATTACTTGTGTTTACAGCCTTTATGTCTTAAGAGTAATAACAACTTAAAAACAGGCTACTAGTTGACCATAGGCAAGAGGATTTTTGCAAGCCCAAAATATATTTCCAGTAAGTAGGTAGAGGTGTATAGAATTCTGCAGATGCATTCTGTAGAAATACTTTTGGTCCAGTTTAATCTATGACAACACCATTGACCGCTAAGGAAATGGTCATCCAAATCTGGTCCCTGGATTTTTATTTCCAGCTCAAAATGAGGAATTCTCCAACTTGCCTATCCTTGCTCAGCCCTCCTGCCTCTGTGAGACCCAGTTCTAGCTTGGCCCTTAGTGTCTATCTAAACTGATCTGTTCCTTCACTGCATCATCTTTTCTCAGCTTTCCTATCTATGACGGTTTGCACTGATACTCGTTTTTTGGCTACAAAGCCATTCAATCTCCACAAAGCATTAACTTTTTTTGTTGCCTATCCAATAATTCTTAACAATTAGCAGTTGTCATTGCCATATATACAGATAGCAGGCTCACCCCTGCAGTAGGAAATGGGCAGAGAGATGGCTTATTTTTTATCCTTACATCTTAGCGAGATGGATACCTCTGAAGGCACTCAAATGTTTTGACCGCATCTGTTTTAAGAAATACTTTGTTAGAAATAATCTGGCATATTTTAAATAAAATGTAGGGTCATAGACACTATGTTTCTTCCTGACAAAATATTTGCATGTTATGTGCTTAGACAGCAATTTGGTGATTTTTTTCTTTTTTTTACCAGAAAGTCATTTATCCCAGTAATAAATGTTGGGGGGGAAAAAACTTCTCAGGGAATGTGAATCAAATGGAAACATGTAAAAAAAAAATAGTTGACTGTAGTACAGAATAAACAAGCTTGAAATTAATCTGAAATTCTAAATAGAAGCTTTACTATGTTCTCTTTATAACCATGATGATATCCAGCTATGCATTGTTTGATATAAAAAATTAAATGTTACCCTCTGTCCCAGAATAGAGTAAGTTGATACATGATTTTCTTTTCATTCCTGCTTGCCTCTTTTCCAGGTAACTTCTGAAGAACTAAATAGTATAATTCAGAATATAATGACCTGGGTTGTGGCTACAGTGACCAGTATATTATACCCAGCCATCACAAAGTATGAAGAAAGGTTGCGAAATAATGCGTACCCAGTATCTGATGACTCTATCCTCTCTTCAGATAGTTCGAGTTTCTGTAGCACATGCAGTGAAGAATTTACATATGGAAGCTACACATCTGCAACAACTAAAACATTTCAGGGAGAGCCCTGTGCATTTTCAGTTGACATATCAGTAAGGCAACCAACGACACCTTTAAAACCACCTGCTGCCCATGTGGAAAAAACAGTTGTGGGAAAAACATATCACATGGAAGGACAGTCTAGAACATCTAAACTCGAATATAATAAAACCAGCATGACATATGCATACCCTAAGCTCAGAAGCTGTAAATCTGATAGTTACCTTTTAGCATCATTTGAAACAGGCACAAAAAAATCTAAGGATGCTACCACCGAAACAGATGGCTTAGAGAGTCCACAGTTTTCTGATCAAAAAGCAAAAGCGATGAATGAAATGAAGAATTTAAAGAATGTTTTTGTTAACTTTAAGTGCCACTTAAAAGGGGAAACTGAATTGATTTTAGAAAGCATTTTTCAAGAAATGATGTCTGATTTAACACAGGCCATTCCCTCTATTTCTTCGGTTACTGCTGAAGTTTTTGTTGGCCGAAGTGAGCCTGAAAAAGGTGACTTGCTCTCCAATGTTGATATCTGCTCAGTAGCTTCAGAGATTGTGGAAAATATGCTTGAGAAGCTACAGTCTGCTGTTGAGAAAAAATGTGTAGAGATATTTTCACAAGAAGATTTGTCAGTTAACGTTAAACCAAGCTTAACCCCCAGTGGAGGATATCTCACTCCGTCAAATGGAAAACCTTTAAAAGCTTCACTGCCTTTGGACCCCATGTGTGATATTGCAGAGGATATGGTCTGTGCCATTCTGGAAAAGCTTGTGACTCTTGCATCTTGTAAGCAAAATGAACTTCCCCATCTTGAAGATGCAACTAAACCTTCCTATCAGCAACATATGATAGACCCAAAAGCTGACAAAAAGTGTAGTCCTGAACCTGGTACAACTAATTTAATTGTTAAAGAAGAGATACAAAATTTAATATCAAATATTTTTTCCCAGTCCTCTTTGGTTGGCCAAATAGAGGAAGCAATCAGCACTATACTAGGATATGTACAAACTGAACTTGAAAATGAGAGACTTATTGCATCTGAAGAAACAGTAGTACTCCTCCAGCTACTTGATGATATCTTCACTCAGCTACATCAGGAGCCAGTAATAGCAGATGTTCAAAAATGTAAACACTCTAGACTGAGAAATCCTTCTGACACTGAAGAAAAGTACAGACTCACTGCCACTAGATTATCTAATGGTCCTAGGTCTGGAAGACCATTTCCACCTATTAATGTTCCTGGCATGGTCCTTTATTCTGAAGATGACAATGAAGAAATAGACAAAATTGTGGAAAATGTGCTTGATTCATCTTTCAAAGATGAAAAAGTAAAATCACAAGAACAGATTCCTGAGCATTGGTTTACAAAAGGAAACACTTGTATTCAACACAAAAGAAATAGCAAACCGCCTACAAAGCCTGCTTCTGGAAGAAGCAAAGTTGCATTTCACAATGGGGAATTAAAGACTGACCTACCACCTTTTAATAATAAAGAAATTTTAAAGGAAAAACCCTGTTTGAATAAAGATATTTTGATTTTCAGCCAAGATCAAAAGCATCAAATACAAAGGGCTTCAGAAAACATAGTTAAAAGTATTTTAACAGAAATGCTCAAGGACCTATCTTCTGTTCCTCCTGGTCACTTAGACAGTAAAACTGGCAAGGAAGCTTCAGTTCTTGTTTCAGAAAAACCTCAAGGACTGTCACATCAAGAATGGATGGACCAGATGTTCTCTGTGTCAGAAATTACTACAGTGGCTCAGGAAATAACAGATGCTGTGTTAAATATACTTCATAAGGCATCAAGCTGCATTTCCCAAACCACCAGAAGTTCCATTTCATCATCAGTTCATCAAACTTCTCTAGATGATAGTTCTGACACTCCCCACCTGGTCAAAGAAGCACCAAATAAAAAGCCATTAAAGTTATGGTTTGACAGTGAAAATAAAATGAAATACTTATCTTCACTCAATGGAGATCCTGCAAAGCCTTCCCTGTTAAAATCAGAAGAAAGTGCACCAAAAGCTATAGATGACATTACCGATAAGATCATTAATACAGTTTTTAAAAGGCTGAAGTTATTCGTTTGTTCAAAATTGCAAATGTGCTTCAAACATTCACCTGCAGAGCAATCGTCATTACAATCTCAACTTAGTACTTATACAACTAAAGTGGTAAACATTGTTTTGCATGCTATTCAAAATGAACTGGAACTCAATAAGAAAAAAATAAATCTTAGAGAAATAGACCACATCAAACCCGTTAAACGTAAAGGATTTTTTGCTGACACTGATAACTTAGAATCTCTTGTCCCAAATCTCAATGATGACATTATGGCATCTCCATTATTAACTTGTATTTGTGAAATTTTATCAAGTGGACATTCAGATCAAAGCAATATTTCACTCTCTTCAGATAAGTCAAGGCCCACAATTTCATATGGATCTGACAATGTTGATAAACAAAACATTTTGCCAAGGAGGCAGGATAAAAAATCTTTTTTCCAATATTTAGCTACTCCATGTGCTCTCCATAGTGTCTTTAATGAAAAAGATCTCAAAGAGAATGCCAGACTGCAAGTGTTAGATAGTATTGGGGAAACAGTGTATGAAATGTTATGCAAGCTCATAGGAGCCCACCCTCACTGTCAGCCATCTTTTAGTGAGCTAAACAGAGAGAAGATGAATGACAATCAGCAAACAGCTACTAAATTGCAGTCAAATATTCAGCTCACTTCCAAAACAATTTTGGAATATATCCTGGCAAAATTATGTAGTGTTGACACGGATACCAGTTTTGCAAGTTCTGGATTTAAAGCTGTCTCAGAGTCTCTTGATATTGACAGCCTATCGTTTGCCTCAGTTATTGAGGAAATAGCCAAATGCACTGATATAATCTCCAGCATAGTTTCCAGGATGGTTCAGGAGGATAGTAAAGAGGTGACTAAAAGCAAGGCAAAAACTGTTGCCCGTGTGCCTTCCAAAACAGGGAGCTCAAAAGAAATGCATCCAAATAAACTGAAGGCTGTGGCTTCAGATATTCTCAGTATGGTTTTTGCTAAACTGGAAGGGTTTGCCAATGGAAATTTAGAAACTCTGGGTTCTATTAATGATGGAAATAAAAAAAGCAATAAGATGCATTTGGAATGTGAAAGTCCTAGTGTTTTCACAGACACACATGAAGGACTGTTGCAGTCTGCTTTATACATGAATGCAAAGAAGGTATCAAGTTCTATTTTGAAAGCTATTCAAACAGAATTAAATATGAACTCATTAGATTTGAGGACAAATGTAAAACCCCCACCACCTGAGAAACAAATGCTTAAGAATATAGTCAATTTAATTTTAGATGCAGTTTCCTCAGATATATTTAATGAAACTGAATCTGAAGAGAGAGGCATTGAAACTTATCGATACAGGCCAACCTATGGAAATTTTCTTCCTGGAGGAGCTGAGTCAGATTCGTTTCTAGAAGATGCTGCACATACAGAGAAAGAATTCATTGGAGAGAGAACATCACTAAGAGAAGAGACTAAATCAGATTCTCTTAAACAATGGTTTCTAGAAAGAACCTTAAACAAGATTGAAGTGAAACTCAAAGAAACACAGAAATCTCCAATTGTTCCTATTATAAGAAATATTTTGAATGAAATTTTTCAAAGTGCTTTGGTCAATCAATTAAATGTGCTTCCTCTCTCCCACTCTCATTTAAGTGGCATCCCTCACAATGTGGATGAGCCAATTGCTCAAACATCTGTTCAATTTACAGATAAAATGATGGGTCCTTTAGTGTCTGAAGCAGATGTAAATATAGTGGCAGATGATGTTGTTAGAACTATATTTCATAAACTTTATTCAGCTGCCATAACAGAGAGAAATGCAAGTGGAAATCAGTATAAAACTGTCACCTTTTCAGCAAATGTTTCTTTTCATGAACACACCTATGGAGGAAAGTCCTCTTTTACTGTGCTGGGTAAGAATCCATGTACTCTTCAGCCCAGATTCAATGTTGACAAACAGACCAAAGTAAATGTAGTTGAAGATATTGTGCAGGCAATCTTAACAAATTTAGAAACTTTTGCTACTTCCAAAGTAAAATCTCTCCTTTGTCCCCAAATCGACTTCACCATTCCAATGGCATTACCTGTTCAGCAGGATAAGGGTGCATTAAGCAAAGCATTATCAGCCAAAGATTCATATTCTGTCGATCAATTTTCCTGTTGCTCAGTGGATCATATTACATCAGAAAAGACCAATTCATTTTGTCAACTCCCTTTGAATAAATTAAATACGTATGCAACAGAAGTGGCCAGAAAAATTTTACAAGGAATCAAACATGAGTTAGATAAAGAAAGGGAAAGTCCTTTCTTAACTCATAACATTGTGGTTTCTGAAAGTATTGCAAGTCAGATTGTTAACACAGTGTTAGATATTGTATCATCTAAAGGCATATGTGACAAAAACAATTCTGACAAAGAGATTGATTCAGATAAGCATGAAGGTATTATTGAAAAGCTGTTTAATAAGACTGAATATCGAAAAGTACTTCAGTTTAAAATACAAGATACCATTGAAGATATCTTATGTGATATTTATGAAAAAACATTGTGTCAGAATAATCTCTCATTTGCCACACCCACTCTGAAATGTAGCATAGCTGGTAAACATTCCCCAGCAAATTCTGAAGTGTTCATTGAGGGTACAAATAAGATTATTTCAAAACTTTCAGTTCCTAAATCAGATGTCAATTTGGTATCCAATGATATAGTGGATATTGTTCTCCGTAATCTCAGTTCTGCTGTCATGCTTGGCATAAACACAAAGGATCCTACTTCTGCAAAATTGCCCCTGATGTTTTGTGATATATTTCCAAAAGCAGAGTGTCAACAGCCTCCTCTTATGGAGTCAAAAAGTGAAGAGAAAACAGAGTGTTTTCCATCTTCAACAAATCTGAAGTTAGTCTATGCTGATGATAGTCAGATAACTGTAGTAGAGAAAGAAGACACCAAGAAATTTGCTCCTGACCCATGTGAGGAAAATGCTAACTTCATCACTAAAACTATTTGCAATCGGTTAGAATCTTTTGCCAAAGAAAGAATAGATTCGTTAATTACTCTTGCTTTCCAGCCTAAAGAAAAGTCATTTGTTAGCCCGGAACTGGAAAATTGTAAACAAGATGACAGCTTTTTTCATGAATCAAGCCAATTGGAATCAAATGTGGATGTCCTGAAAATATCAACTGAAACTATTCTCAGCCAAGAGCTCACAGATTCCACTTTTGCCAGTTACAGAGAAAAACTTGGATCCACAATTCATCTATCACAAGCTAGTCTTAAGGAATATGCTGACATCATTGCCAGTGCCATTTTGAAGCTTGTTAAAAATGACTTAGACCTAGAAATCCAAAAGACATATCCATATCCAAACAATATTTCATTCCAAGAAAGCATCATTGTGAGTGAAATTGTCAACAGTATCTTAAAGATTTTATATGATAAAAGATCTGTAAAGGAAATTAGTTTTTACTCAAAAGACAATCCTAATTTATTTTCACAACTAGCTGTATCAAATGAAATATTACTGGGACAAAGAGAGCAGGAAAAAAGCACCAAACTATCTCTGTTTCCAAAGTATCCGTTAGAACAAAACCAAACGACATTGGAAAAGGAAAGCCAGAGAATTGTTTTGGAAGAGATATTTATGAGAAATGGAGAATCAAAACAAAAAGAAAAAACTGCATTGCTCAGTGCAGTGGAAGAAGTTTTAAATAAAGTATATCAAAGAATAATGGAAATCATAGGCCATTTGCCTCCATTTAATGAAATCCCTCACTTTAATTCTAAAATTAAAACATCAGACATAACACGATCACATATTAACAGTGCAGCAAAGGATATAGTTGAAAGTGTTTTAGGGAAAATGTACTCTGTAGTTGTGACATCATTATACAAAAGTAATAAAAAAGTAGAAGCATCTGACAACAATGATAACTTACCCAAGAAACCATCATGCATCAGAGAAGCTAAACAAGCAGGAAAAGTAAGTAATCCCACTAGCAATGTAATACCACAGGTTTATCCTTATGCAGGCAGTCGAAATGTCTCTCCATTGGAAAACACTTTTTTGCAGTGTTCACCATTGCAAGTGGGAAAGGATTTAGTCCAAATGGTTCTCAATAAGATCACAAATTTTGCCTCACTTCATCTAGAAGAGAATTTGTCTCCTGAAGGTTGTTCTAATGAGTTACAACCTCTAAGGCTACACAGTTCTAAAGTGAGCCCTAAAGGCAGCCCTAAGGCAGGTTTTAAAACAAGTTTAAAAGCAAGATCAAAAGTTACTCCTTTGCCTAAATTGAGAACAAAACCACAACTAGGATCTAGTAGTGCTAAGGCCAAAAGCAAGACCAAGTTAGGTCCTGGAGACAAGGCTCCAAAAGACAGCCGATCCAAGACTGCCATGGGGCTGCCACATATCCTATCAACAGGAGATGCCAAAAACCTACCGGAAACCAAACTGCCCACTTCAGAACTACAAATATATGCCAAGGATATAGTAATTAATATCCTGGAAACAATTGTGAAAGAATTTGAAAAGGTGAAGCAAACTAGAGCAATGGTAAATGTTAAAGCTTTACCATCTGATCAAATCATGGCAGCAAGTAAAATAGTAAATACAGTTTTACAAGAATTATATGCTATAAATAACCAGAATTTGGCTTATCTGATCAAATCTTCACATCTGGATGATCTCAAACTTTCACAGGGAAATATAGGTGGAGGGTCTATTGCCAGTCCACAGGCATGTTTTTACTTGGAAAATGTTTCTTCACAGCTGGAACAGATTTTTCCAAAAGAAGGTATTTTTAAAAAAATGTTTGACAAATGGCAAGCAGAATCAAGTGACATGGAAAATGAAAAATGTAAGCTGTTGAAGACAGCTGAAAATGTTTTGACTGAAATTTCAATAAAAACGAAGAAATTAGAATATTCTCTTTCACTTTTAAATTTGCCATATCTTGAGGATTGTGAAAGCATGCTCCATAATCGTTTTAAAGGAGCTTCTCCTAGAGCTGAAGATACCAAAGTACAAATTAATATGTTTGGAAGGGAAATTGTTGAAATGCTATTTGAAAAATTACAGCTGTGCTTTTTGTCCCAGATATCCACCCCAGATAGTAAAGAAACTCTAGTAAGTAGGAAGGAACACATTACTACCAAAAGTAAATATGGTTTTCCAGCCAAGGACATCCTCGGCAGTGTACCAATCTATAACACGAAGACAAAAGACCAAATTTCTTTGGGTTCTAGCAACCAAATTGTTCAAAAAATTGTTGAAAGGGTTTTAAACATGTTAGAGTCATTTGTAGACTTGCAGTTTAAACATATCTCTAACTATGAGTTTTCTGAAATAGTGCAAATGCGTATAGAAAACTTTTTTCCTGTCCAACAGAGACTATTAAGCAAAAAAATGTTGCCAAAGTTACAACCCCTTAAAAAGTTTTCTGATGAATCCAAGTCAAGTACTATCATTTCCAAGGAAAGTGTGCAGAATACCCTTCTACAGTTTCGTTCATTCCAATCAGAGTTACTTACATACGCTGTTAACATCGTCTGTGACATGCTTGGTATAATTAAGAACAAGCTAGACAAGGAAATAAGCCAAGTGGAACCATCTTCAATTAGCATATTGAAAGAGAACATTGTAGCAAGTGAGATCATTGGCACACTGATGGACCAGTGTACTCATTTCAATGAATCCCTGATCAAAAACCTTCCAAAGAAAAGTTTGTTCCAAGGAGTGGAAAATACCTACGTTGTTAATCAGGCTGAATTAGCAACTAGTATGAAAATGCCCATGTCAAAGTTAAAGAAAGTTAGTTTTGGGAATAATCCTCCACAAATCAGTGTACCCAGTTTGGTGGTTTATTCAGAAGAAGATATGAAAAAAAAGTATAGGGCTTCATCAAATTTACCCTCGTATGCCAGAGCCTCTGTAGAAGACACAATTAAAAGCTCAGAGCCAATGGACAGGCCTGATTTAGAAAATACACCATCACGCTCTAGCAACAAAGTACAAGAAGACTTCAGCCCAAGGGAATCTAACTTTGGCCATTTTGATCAAGCCATGAAAGGAAATAGCTCTCTCCCTGAAGGCAGTGTCCTACAAAAACTGTTGAAGAAAGCAAATGAATCCACAGAAGCAGCCTTAAAGCAAGCCATGTCATTCATAGAACTGGGAAAAGGTGAAAATCCAAGAGTGTTTCATTATGAGACCCTAAAACCAGTTGTTGAGCCAAACCAAATTCAGACAACCGTTTCTCCACTCAAAATATGTTTAGCTGCAGAAAATATCGTCAATACTGTGCTGTCAAGCTATGGCTTTCCAAGTCAACCACACAATAATGAAAGCATGGAAACAATGAAACCATTTTTCATATCAAAGCAAAACCCTTTGACTGTAACTTCTGGAGGACAAAAGAATGAGGAGAAAACTTCACTTAGAATGTGGAATAAAAGAATCAGCTGTATATCTGAAGAAGAAAACAAAAAACCTGAAGCCAACAGGGGAGATTTTTCTTTATTGCAAAAATGGGAGAATAAGTGGTACCCCGAGATAAGGACCCTGAAGGAAGTTGAAGTCATTGCTTTTGCTGATCATGAACTGGGTCCAAATGAAATTCATTTGATAGCAAGACATGTCACCACATCTGTGGTCACATATTTCAAGAACTTTGAAACTAGAGGTAAGCAAGAGATAGCCTATTTTAAAAGTTGGCATAATTTAGAAAAAGAAGATATGTTCAAAAGATCTGCTATCCAACAAGCTGCATTTACTATTTTTTCTAAAAATAGCCTTAGAGGTGGGGTATTTAATTACTTCTTAATAAATCAGGATACTAAAAAAAGAAAAAAAAGTAATACATTCACATGGTTTGAATCTGAAAGGGTCTGCTGTTCAGTTTTCAGTATTTGCAGATCAGAGAAAATAGGATTACTTTAAAGCAGGAGATTTTGGTTGAGCATGAGGTATGAGGTCCAAAGAGTTTTTAAAGTTCTTATGCATGACTTCTTTATAATCATACAAATGTACACTTATTGATTAAAGGTTAGTGATTCATTTTTTCAAGGTGTACAGCTTAAGTCTTTGCCATTATTAGTCACAGTTTATGAGAACAGTCATATTAAACATCTTGTTTTGTTTGCATTCTGGTGTTCTTAAATTCCTTTTAGGTATAATACTCTAAACATATCGGTACAGAGATATTTTTACTCCCTTTCTAAGAATGCTTATCTGTATATATTAGGTTGAACCATATGTAATAGCCACTTTTCTATATTAAAATCTGTTGATTATTGGCAATTTCATAAAATTCAATCTAATAATACTATAATAGCCCTGAACTGGATCAGTAATTCCAGTTACCAGTAATTAGTTGCTACATTACTAGTCCAGATACATCACTTGCCCATCATTCAAATGAGAGAACACATACTACCAGTCCTACCCACTTGCACTAGGAGGTCATTTCCCATCCTTAAAACTGGTATTCTTTAAAGGTGGACAGTTGTGTGCCTGCAATTGCAAGCTCATAAATAGACTTTCTTCAAGCATTGCCTAATTTAACTTAGAGAATTAATAAATAAAAACAAAACAAACAAGAGAAGATTCATGATTCCATCCTATTGGTATTTAGCTTTTTCTATCAAATCTATTTTCTATTCTCAGACATGTCCAGGGCCTTCCAGAGATTTCATTCACACTTCTTCCACTTCAAATACTCTTTCCTCCCTCCCTTCATCTCAACATGGCCAAATCCTATCTAACAGTCAAAGCTCAACATAAAGCCTCCCCATCTCCACAGAGTCTTGCCTGATTCCACAGGCAGAGGTCTAATAGACGATCAAGTTCTGAGGAAGTTTTGAGAAAAATAATTGTGTTGCTCTGGCTGCCACTCTAAGAAGTTGACCATCCCAAGTAGGCATATGATTTGCAATAAATATTCTGTTAAATGAAGAAAGAATAGAGTCCTGTGCCTAGCTGGGCCGGCCCTCCATCTTTGTGACAAACTGTCATCTAGGGATTGAAATACTACTGACATTGCAGTCTACGCGTAACCTTTTTGGAGTTGCACACTTCTATTTCAGTCAAGTTGTCATTGTAACACAACTGCTTAGCTTCCTAAAAGTAATACATAGCATGAAATTAAATGTTTTGACTAAAAATAGTTTTTAATCATATAAGGTCTTGAGATCACTGCAGACATGCTATGATGTAACAATAAACTTCGAAATCATTTTCTGCCCCAGAATTTCCAGCTTCTTAGAGCCCATAACCATTTAGTGAGACAGATATCAGCACTTGACTTAGAGATTTGAATTCTTCAGGGTTATTTTCTCAACTTTCTGGCTAAAATTAACATTCCACAAGATGGAAAATAAATATCTGAAGAAAATCCAATTTGTTTCTTAGCTAGGTTTTTCTTTTTCTTTAGTGAGGTGCTCCAAAGGTGAAATTCATATGTAAACAATTACCAATATATTGAATTTTCAATATTTCCCTTAGTGTATGCTAACAATGGTAATGTTTTCTTTTTTTAAGTTTCCAATGAGGAGAAGATATCTATTATTTCTACATTTCCAAGGAAAAAAGATGAATCAAAACAGCTTCTAAGAAGCATATACAAGGATTCTTCACTTTATCAATTTTGTGAACATCTCACTGAGTCTGTCATTTGCCATTTACTTTCAAGCATTTCTGATAGCACCAGAGATGGTAGAGAAAAAGAGAAAGCATGGGAAAGCCAAAATGCAGCATTTAACAAGATCATTTCAATTGATACTCAAGTGTTTGAGAACAGGTCAATTTCTATTGGAGAACTTGCTTCAAATATTTCTGAAATCATTATTGAAATCCTTTTTAATAGTAACATTATAGAGGCTGACATTGCACAGCAAACGTTGTCTTTAAAAACAAAGTACATGTACTGCCCAGGAGTAGCTGCTGCTGACTTTGATGATCTCTTTCAGGATCTCTTAATAGGAGTGATTCATGTACTATCCAAAGAAATAGGAATAAGTCATCACCTTGAAAGCACTGGAAGAAATAAGTCATTTTCCATGCTTAGAAGCAATGGTGTGCCCATTTGCGACAAAACAAGTACAATGGAAAGACAAAAAGGCTCCAGAGATTGGGAATCATCTACTCACCAAATTGATCATCTCATTCAGAAAAATAAATTAAATTATCTGGCATATAAGTTAGACAGTCTGGTTGGTAGCCTAAAAACTCGTGAATCCAAAGAAGTAGTCAATAAAGTTTTTAATATTGTTTTAGATTTATTTTTACCAGATGAACACCCACATGAGGCTATGGATTCTGATAAAAAAGCAAGAACATTTTTTTCATCCTCAAATGATCAGAAAAGTAATAGCATACTTGGAAATAACTTAGAGATCACTCCAAAATCATTTTTTCTTCTCAATGTTGTGTGTGAAAAACTTATTAGAACACTTTTGGAAAAATGCACAAACCCTGTCTTTGTTGATAATTTAACTCTTTCTGATGGAATATCAGCAGAAGAATGTCAGCTTTTAAAAATACTTCAAAGTGTAGAAGATGAAGAATTTGATTATTGTAAGGGAGCAATGGACTGTGAACAATTTCAAGGAGATTATATGTCACACCTATTGGAAAACCCGGCAGAAATGGATCAGAATTTATTGTCATCAGACTCTATGCTTACTATTATTTCCCACAGCTTGGTTAAATCATTGATGGACAAACTATGTCACAGTATACAACTCCCCAAAAGTCCACCTTGTACAAACAAGCATTTAATGTATAGAACAAGAGAAATACAGTCTAGTTTCATAAAAGCAAAAGCGGCAGAATTAACAGAATTGGGACAAGGTAAAGGCTCTTTAGGATTCATGAGTTACAACAGTAATGCTTTGACAGGATCCTTGAATAATCCCAGTGTGATTAGCTCCAAAATACAAGCACCATTTGGCAAGAAATGTTCAGTAAATTCCTCTTCTGTGTCACTTCTTCTTAAAAGACAGGGAACAAAGGATATGGATACAATAGCCATCCATAATAAGCTGTATCCAGGAGATATGAATACAGGTATTTATTCAGCCACATTTTTGGAGGAAATAATTTCAGAACTGTTTTTTAATCTCTCTACTTCACTGTGGGGCAAAAATGAAAACATCACTGAGGCCCGGCTCAATGAGATGAATACATTATTTGTCTCCAACGTAGTGAATGAGTTTAATAACGCACAAGTCACTGTTTTACGGAATGCTGAAGAAAGGCTGTGTTTTCCACCAATCCATAAAGAAGCTGTTAGTAGGATTGTTGGTTCAGTTTATTGTGATGTTTTACAGCAATATAAATTGATAGTGACCTGTGGTAATAATCTGGCACATGACAATAACTCAATAGCTGAACAAATAACTAATGGCATATTGTTAGAGATTTTAGACTACCAACTCCCATCCTGCTTCAGGGGAAAGCTCATACCTAATTCATATTACCCTCTTGAAGCTGAAATTATACTACAGAAACTTCAAAATAACCTGAGAGAATTTACTTCCCAACACAGATCTTCAAAAGGCTATAGCACCATGTTGTCACACTCATTTTTAGAAGATATTATCAGAAGACTTTTATCTCAACTCATTCCTCTACCCAGTAAGGCTTCTTCTTTGGGAAACAAATATTTCATGAGTTCAGATTTTAATGACATGTCTACCTGTATAATAAATAAGGTTATATCAGCCATTTCAAAACATAGAATTTGGTTCACTATATATAATAATCAATATCTATGCACAGGAAAAAACCTCCAGAAGATGGTGGATTCTGTTTATGGCAATCTTGTACAAATGTCTGACTCTCTTGATTCAATACAGAAAAGTATAATCAGCCAAAGTCCAATTATGCTTGACCGAATAGCCAGTTTTATTATCCAAGAGATTATTGAAAATCATCTTCAGCCGTTTTTGTGTGGAGAAGATTTACCTCGTCCAAACACTCCATTGGATGCAATATCAAATATGGTTAAACAGGTTCTCAGTGAAGTCACAGAGTCACACAGACCCCAGACACCATCACCCTTAGGTATTTACCCTCACACATTTGTAGGGGAAATTGTTGCCAGACTTTTATCAAAGATTTTCAGTCTAAAGCATAACACTGCAATTGAACTAGAAAACATGACCCAAAAAATAGTAAACTCAATAAGTAACCATTTTGCCAAAGCTAAAATTCACATTCTATATGATGACAAAGAACAGTCTTACTCCTCTGTAGATACAGATATTGTAGATGAACTCGTCACCTCAGTTTATAGAAACGTTTTAAAACAGCATGGGATAGACCCTGAGGTTGATAAAGAGTCTCAAGACAGTGATATTTTTGTGGAAAATATTACCAATTTAATTGTAGCAGCTATTACAGATTATCTTGTTCATCCACTGTTTTCTGGGGATTTGTCATCTTCCTATTCTATTTCAACAGCTGAGAATATTTTTCAGGACATTCTTAGTAACAGCAGTAAATCTACCAAGCCAAGTCAGTGTTTATCTCCATATAACACCTTGCTGCCATATACATTTTTAGAAGACATGATCAGAGTACTATTATCTAGGATCTTTCCTTCTGCATCTAGCATTGTTCCAAACAGAGAAACTCCAAAAGATAGATCAAGAGTGAATTTCAATGAAATTGCTTCAGAGATAATCAGTGATATTAGGATGAAAATTTCCCAACATGAAATTCGATTTTCAAAAGATGAAGAAGACACCAACTTTGTGTATTCAGAAGATGATGTTCAGCATCTCGTTGACTCAGTATTAAAAAATATTTCACAAAACTCTGAGTCTCAAGAATCAGTTGAGCAAAATATCACAAGCAGTAATGATGTTCTGATTGATAGAATAGCAGGTTTTATCATTAAACATATCTGTCAACAACATCTTCAGCCATTTGTGGATGGGAGGTCATTACCTTCTTCATCATACACATATTTTGATGATGAGAGAAGGCAGTGGTTTTATGCCAGTGTTTATTCCTCAACTTTTTTGGAAGATGTGGTCTCTGGGGTTTTAAGCAAAATATTCCACAGGGTGTTAGGCGTTGTACAAACAAAATCAGTAAGAGACTCAGAAGATGAACTGTTTGATAAAGTTGAAAAACTCATACATTTGATAGCAGAGGAATTTTCAAAAGCCCAAGTTAGCATTCTAGAGAATGCTGAGGAACAATGGTGTTTGCCTCCGGTGGAGAGGGATGTAGTCAAAAACATTATTGACATGGTGTACAGCAAAGTTTTGCAAGAATATGATATGGAAATAATGCCTGATAAACATTTTCTAAATGACACAAAGACACTGGCTGCAAAGATCACTAAAATCATCCTGGCTGAAACTTTTGATTTCCAAATTCCTCCAAATATTATAGGAAAGCTTCCTTTTAAGTCACACTCCAAACTCAGTACTAATGTTTTGATAAAGAGAGTTCAGTGTGACATTACTAAATCAAGGTTCAAAAGACAGGCTTCAACAATGTATACTACTATGTTATCACAGACCCATTTGGAAAAAATCATCACTCAGCTTATATCTCAGATGAGTCCATTGGCCTCCAGTGCAGAACACCCAGATACTTGTCAATTAGGTTTAAGTAATACAGTCATAAAACTGATAAATGAAATCATGTCAATAATTTCAAAACATGCAATATGTATTATTAAACATGGGAATGAAAAACAAAGTATGATTTCAGAAAAAGATATCCAGTCTATGGTTGATTCCATTTATGCTGACCTTTCATGTTCAGATGTATACCAGTCTCTTAAAAAAGATAAAAAATGTATAAGTAACATACCTGTTCCAAAAATAGCAAGTTTTATAATAAAAGAAATCTTTAACCATCATCTTCAGTCATTTTTATCTGGAGATAAAACTCTTCTTTCAGCTGCAGTTGATCATACTTATAAACAAAAAGCAATAGATCATAAACAAAGAGAGTTGTCTGTCATTGTGAACTCGGCTGTCTTTTTGGAGGAAGTAATTTCTGAGCTTTTGTGTCAACTCCTTTATGGATTCTCTTATAATGTCTTGGCTGCTGAAAACCCAGATACAGTAAAAGCCAAAATTACTGGCATTGTTACAACATTAGTAAAATCAATTGTTCTGGAGTTCACCACATCAGAGATTTTAGTTGCAGATAACTCTGATGATGATATGTGTTTTTCAGAGGGATATAAAGAAATGGTTCAAAAAACAGTCAACCTAATTTATGAAAAAATATTAGATGAATATAAATCTCTGATTCAAGTATATAGGGCTATACAAAGTGACAGTATTTGTTTTGGAAGGAAAATATATCATTTGCTGTTGGAACAAATTTATGATTATCAGGTGCAGTCATTGGTTTCAGGAGAATTAGTATCTTCTTCCTATTCTTCCCTTCAAGCTGATAATATCATCAGAAATGTGCTCAATGTCATCATGAAGGATAGCCACTCCTTGCCATCATGTATTACTGTGCTGCCTCGTTCTCTTTTAAAAGATATGATTTACAAGCTTCTAGTGCATATCTTCCCTTCAACTGACACTAAAAGTGAACTAAAAGAGAAAGAGGTTTTACCAGATTATGAGTTTGTGGATGCAGCTTCAAAACTGACTGATGAAATTATCAAAGAAATTTCTGAACATGAGATCCGTCTTGCCACAGCAGACGAGATTGCAGAAAGTATGCAATTAGAAGTGATTGAGAATTTGGTTGACTCTATATGTAATAATATTTTGAAAAAATCTGAATTTCAAGCTGAAGTACAGAAAGATGCAGACAAAAGAGGAGGTTCATTCCTCAGTAAAATAGCTGGTTTCATTATGAAGGAAATCATGGATCATCATCTGCAGCCATTTTTACATGGTGAAGAATCATCTTCCAGTGACTTATCTGGTTATGACCATGTCTCTGTAGTTACTAAATCTGGTAAAGAAAAGACACAGCCTTCTCTATATTCAGCCACATTTTTGGAAGATGTAATCGTTGACCTCGTTCACAAATTTTATTCTTTTCCAAGTATTACTGAAGAGTCTAAGAAAAATGAAATGCCAGAGCCAGACATTGTGGGCTTGGCTATAAAATTTGCAAACTCTCTGATAGGAGAATTTAGGAAAAGTGAAATTAAAGTTCTACCAAATGCTGAAGAAATATTCTCTTTTCCACCAATTGATAAAGAGACAGTTGATAAAATATCCAATTTTGTATATGATCAGTTCATAGGAAATTATGGATCTAAAGATATTCAGAAGGATGATAAAAGTAATGTTGTTATAGAAATGATTGCTGCTTTAGCCCAGAAGGCAATCTCTGCTTTCAAGATTCAACCACTTTTTTCAGGAGACTGGTCTTCCACCTTTTTTTCATTTCTAAATCCAGATAACATCACCCAAAGGGTTCAACACCTACCACAGAAAACCTCTACACAGATAAACAGATGCTTAAAAGGAAACCAACTTACTTTACCCGAACAATTGTATAAATACACTTCTGCAACCTCAGACCAGAAAAATCTGTTGGACACTTCGGAAACAGATAGAGGTGCAATGAGTAGAAAGAAGAGTTTCAAAAATGAGGAGACTTCAACGAAAAAAGGCGACATCCAAGATCCAATAGTTACCTCTATATCTACAATTATGAAAAACAACATGTTTAACCTGTTGTCAGGGTCACCTGCAGGTGTAGCAAATAAAAACAAAGAGAATAAAAATAAAATGGGAATTTCAATTCAAAAACTTAATGAGAATGTATCAAAAGTTACTTCTCCAACTACTAGTGTGAAAAGTAAAGATACTCAGGAGCCAGATTTAAGGATACCACTTAAAAACAAAGAAATAGAGAAGAAAAGCATATCAGCTTCAAAAGATGAGGAGGGGCAAGGTAATGAAGTACATACACAATTTCCAATAGCTACTGATGTTACAGAATGTGAGAAGGAAATACTTGGACAAGATTTTGAAATAGACAATGAAAAGAAGATTGACAAAACAAGAGAAAATTCATTAAAAAAAGAAGACAAGTTCTTTCAGTTATCTTCTTTGACATCCAAAACAAGAAATACAAGGACTTCAACAGAGAAAACTTTGAAAACAGTTGCTCAAAGGCCAAACAATGAGGGGAGAAAAGACTCTCCAGTTCAAATAGATATAAATGAGGAACAACACTCAGATTATGAATGTGTTCAAAACGTAATTGAAAATATTTATGATGACGTCTTAGAAATATATTATTCTCCAGAATCAACAGATTATTTAAAACTCCAGAGTCCCCCAAGTGATACAGCATTGGATGTAATTCAAGAGGTCGGCAAAGATTTTGCACAATCTATTTCAGCAAAGGATTTATCCCTCTCAATTAACAAAAATCTCCCTGCCAAAGAGAAAGAAAATGAGACAGAAAGAGAGAAAGAGACACAAAGAGAGAAAGAGAGAGAGAGAGAAAGAGAGAGAGGGGGGGGAAAAAAAGAGAAAGAGAGAGAAGAGAAAGTTAAGGAGAATAAAAATGAACCTAGTAAACCGGACAGTCCTCAGTACCCACCAAAAAGTAAACCTGTAATTTTTCCTGCTACATTTTTAGAAGATGTTATCACTGAAATGGTTAACAAATTGATCTTTTCTTCCTCACCAGAAACACAAACATGTGATAGATGTCAAAATGTAAGCGATGATGAAAATCAAGCTGAACTGTATGACACAGCTATGAAACTTATTGATTCACTATTAAAGGAGTTTTCAAATGCTCAAATTAAGGTATTTAGGCCAGATAAGGAAAATCAGGTTTTTTCACCTGTAGATAAAGTGTCATCAGTTCCTAAAGTACCTCCCAGGTGTAAAGAATCAACTACAGATGAAGCAGCATCTAGCATTAAGAAAATAACTGTGGATAATATGCCACATATACATAAAATGACTAAAAAATCCTCTTTGAATAAGATACCTTTTCTAGATAAAATACCAGCAATTGATAAAACATTAGTCAACAAAGTTGTTCACTCCTCTGTATGCAATATTTTGAAGGAATATAGATCTCAAGACTCCATTTGTAAGAATATAAAGAGTAATGGGGAAAATTTAGCAAGAAGACTAACTAGCACAATGATAAAGGAAATTTTTCAACATCAGCTTAATTTGATATTTTATGATGAGGTTCCAGCTTCAGCATGTTTCCCTCTGGAATCTAAGGATGTTGTTAAAAAGGTCCAAAAGGTGGCTCAAACAGCTAGCAAAGAATGTCAAACATCATCACCATATACCGTCACACTGCCTCATGAATTTTTAGAGAATGTGATTTCTGCTCTTCTGTCTAAAATTTTCTCAACAGTATCCAACACCAAAGCAGAAACATCTGACGGCAGTTGGTTCACAGAACTGGATTTCCTTCAAATGAAATTATTAAGTACAGTTACAACAGAGATATCCAAGGATGAAGATATGCTTATACAGTATGTGGAATCCTTACATCCCAATGATGATGAAATTATTCAATTAGTGGTTGATTCTATTCATAATAATCTCTTGTCACAGTTTGGATCACAAGAGATTATACAAAATTGTGTAGCCAGTGGATGCAGAATCCTTTCAGAAACCGTAGTTGACCTAGTTCTACGAGAAGTAGCTGGCAATCAGTTACAGAACTATTTTTCCGCAGACCTAACTCCACATCAGTGTGCAGAAGTTGACCATGTTGTTGAAAATATTCTTAAAGATGTTATCCAGACTGCTGATGCTCCCCAGCCTCAACCATCACATGCTCATATACTACCTTATAACATAGTAGAAGAAATTGCTGTAAACTTTTTATCAAAGCTTTTATCTATGTTTCCAAAAGTGGATAAGGAAAGAAACAAATCTCTAGAAGCTGAAATGCAAAAAATAATCTCAAAAATATTAAATTCAATACAAGAATTTATCTCCAAAAGTAAGATTAAACTTGTACCACCAGCCAAGGAATTGCCTATTGTTCCTTTAGCTGACAATGAAACTATTGAAAAAGTAGTTAATTCTGTTTACACCAGTGTTTTAAAGCACTCTGGCTCCCATACTTCTGTATTTAAAGATTTGGTGGGTAACAGCAATATCCTCTCTGATATAATAGGTTTTTTAATGGTGAAGGAAATTTCCAATTCTGAATTTCAGCCTCAAGTAGAGGAAGAAGTATCAAGTTCAGAGTTAGTTCTAGAAGCTGTCAAAGTTATGGAAAAAGTGGTCAAAATTGTTGATGAATTTAAGCTCCAGGAAAAGTCTTCATCCAAAAAAGGTTCTCTGTTAGATGCCGTGTTTTTGGAGGAAGCATTGGCCTTGTTCTTGGCTAAAATATTAAGGTTGCCAAGTGCCTCAAGCAAAGATGCCAAAAACTTATCAAAGCCTGAGTTAAATAAAATTGCATCTCAACTGACAAAATCTGTGACAGCTGAAATTTCCAAAAGTAATATTAGTCTTGTTGCTGCTGATCCTGAGGAACACTTTTTAAATCCAGAAAGTATAGAAATTATTTCTCAGGTTATTGATTCTGTTTATAGTAATGTACTGCAACAATCTGGAACCCAGAAAGAACTTTATTTTGATATAAAAGATACAAACAGAGTTTTCCCTAAAAAAGTGGCTAGTTTAATTATTAATGAAGTTTCAAATTTTCCATTAGATATAGTTAACTCAAAGAATTCAAATCCAAATCTCTTTGGAGATCTGGACATTAATAGAATTATTCAAAAGGCACAAAAGTATGCTGTTAAAATGATCCCTGACTTAGAGGAAGAAGAGTCAGCTCAAGATTCAGTTGGAGAGGAATTTCCAATTAAAATAGTTCCACATGTTGGGAATAAACCGATCAAAATAGATCCACGCATTATCGCAGAACACCTGGCAGTAATTTCTGTAAAAACTCAACCTCTTGAGAAACTTAAAATGGAGTGTTTAAGAAAAACTGGACATAGCATAGAAGAACTGAGAAGAGTGTCAATAAGTGGGAAAGGTTACTCATCAGACACGTCTGATGTAGGAAAGATGAGGAGAGAAAGACGTATCTCATTGGATAAGACCGGACGACTAGATGTAAAACCCTTAGAGGTAAGTGTAAAAGCAATAGCAAAAAAAGAATAGTAATACATGGTTGTTCTGTTATTCCCTTCCTCAAATATGTACATGGTAATGCCTTTTTTGTTGTTATTGCCCAGCCCAATAGGAGAATTGGTCACATCAGTTCATCCATATAGTCGTATGATTTACTGGGACTTGCCATATCAGCTCCGTGGCTCACTCTAAAGGTCTCAGGCTAGTTTTCCTAAGACAATCAATTTAAACTGGCATTTTTTTTTTATAGAGTGGGAATACAGGGACATACTTTTAACAGTAAAATAAGGCTGACTGAAATTATAATCTTCATTTGAAGATTCAAAATATAGACTATCTCATGTAGTTCCTGTAGTTCTTCATTGTGGATATCTAAAGGTGTTTAAAAGGACCAGTTAATAGATTATCAGGATCTATGCAGTTTCTAAAACTATCTAAAATAGTTTTAATTTCTCAAACTTAAGGCTCTATAGCATTAGTACTTTTTACTTTTAGCAACATTCATCAACGAACATTAGACTACAAATTCTTAGATTATACTTATTATTTCACTGTAATTATATTAGCCTTACTCAAGTTCTTCTACACTCTAAAGACGTACTCAGTTTCTTTCCTCTTCTATCCTTGTTCTAGACCTAGCTGCCCTAATGCTGCCATTTTTATGAGTCCATTTTCTCTTGCTATAGACCTAGTTCTGCCCTGCAGCTCCATGGTCAAGCCCCAAATATGTTCAACTAATTGGGACTTTAAAATGCCAAAATGATGTCCATGTTAAAAGGAGACTATACCATTGAGGACAAAGGGATTGTCTGGCCAATAGAGTTATACTGATCCACTACACATTTTGATTTTTATGAAAGCCCCTCATACTGAGGGTGTTCACTCATAAGAGGACTTAGTGTGCTTAGGGATATAATCTATGGCCTGGAAAATGAGCAAAGTTTCATAGAACCATTCTCTGCCCTCCACTAACACAGAAAATCAAATTTGACAGTATTTTAATTTCTTAAGGAGGCTATTTCTATATTTTGTTTTTAAAGAAGATATTCTTTTAGGGTTCCATTATCTGAAAAATGGGCTTATAGTGTTAACAAAGGCATGTTGAGGTGTATCATTGTTAACTCAAATCAATTTAGAGGTTTTGTGGCATCATCAAACACTACAGAATTGGGGAAATTCTATTATTTAATTATAATTGTCTTTCCTTTGATCTTTCTTTAGACATTGAAAATGGAAAGCAAGATTTGACTAGAGAGATGAGATTTATTTTTTATTTATTTATTTTTTTTAATTTTTTGTTTATTGCAGTAACATTGGTTTATAACATTGCAAAAATTTCAGGTGTACATCATTGTACTTCTATTTCTGCATGGACTACATCATGTTCACCACCAAAATACTAATTACAACCCATCACCACACACATG